ATGTGCAGAAGAATGAAAAAAAAACAAAAACCATGATGAAAAGCTGCTCCCCCTTCAGCAGCCTGTAGTCTTCTTTGAGAAAACAAGGTACATGTGTCAGACAAGTACTGAAAAGGTGCTCGCTCTCTCGCTCTCTCTCTCTCTCTCCATCTCTCTCGCACACACACACACACACACACACAGCTGTGGCCAAAGGGACCAGGAGTGCCCAGACGCTCCACATCCCAGGGCTGGCCACCATCTATTTTATGAGTTGAGTGTGCACTAAGTATCAGGCATTATACGGGGTGTTAAAAACACAGAGACACACTAAACGTAGTCTCACAGGCTGGAGCTGCTACAGAAAACTGCAAGACAGAGGTGAGCTGGGGCAGCGAGCAGGTGCAGACAGGAACGGGCAGGGCTGCGAGTGGGAAGCAGGGCGCCAGCGCAGGAACCAGGCAGCGAGCACAGCGCTGCGAGGCCGGCGGGGAGCGAGGGGAGCGAGCGGGCGCTGCGTGGGCTCTTTCTCCCAGAGCAGAGGATTCACGTGGGAAGAAGTGAGAGAAAGTCTGGAGGATTAAAGGAAACCTATTTACTGTCTTGGATGGTTAATGTGTGGAACTACTGACTATCGCTGTTGTGATTCTGCGGACGGGCCTCAGAGAAGGTATTTATGTCGCAGCTAGTTTGAAGAGTGGGAAGAAACTGGTTGGCTCCTTGGCAGTGCAATTTATTATCAGGATCGGTAAGGAACTGTCCCGCTACATGCTGTTCTCTCTGGTGACCATGATTTTCCCCAGTCATTTTTATTACTAATACAGGCCTCTGAGAAGGGCATAAGATGTGCAATACGGCAGCTCCAGGAAAAACAAAGTGGGCTTTATTAAGCATTTTCTTAAGAGCACTGACTGAATAGCAATGAAGGTATTTTGACAGATGGTGGTGCTATCAATTGGGAGAAGTAGGATACATGGAACAAGGCTTTGGGGAGGAAAAAGAAGTTATTAAAGAACACTCAGGTGGGTGGAAGATGGTTGAGAAACATGGCTCCTCGGGCCTGGGAAAATCAGCTAATAGGTAGCCCCGGGTGTGAAGAGGGACATTCTAAGGTAATTTTCTTCATGATGAGAATGTTTTAATGACTATAACTTTATTCTCTTGTTGTGGATATAAGTATTTAGTATATTACAGTAAAATGTGTTCAAGGTGGCGACTTTTGCATTACCTGTGCTATAAACAGCAATAAATAGTTTGGGGAAAACATGGTGAGATTCTTCCCCTTCGGTAGTTCTCTTTTCACAAAATAAGAAACAGATGTATTAAAGATGACCCTGAGAATCCTGCACAGAGGTGGAAAGTAGTCTAAATATAAACCTAGCCCAGGCCTTTTTTTTTTTTTGTAGAGACAGAGTTTTACTTTATCCCCCTCGGTAGAGTGCCATGGCCTCATACAGCTCACAGCAACCTCCAACTCCTGGGCTTCGGCGATTCTCTTGCCTCAGCCTCCCAAGTAGCTGGGGTTATAGGTGCCCGCCACAACGCCTGGCTATTTTGTTTGTTTGTTTGTTTTGCAGTTCGGGTGGGGCTGGGTTTGAACCCGCCATTCTCCGTATATGGGGCCGGCACCCTGCCCACTGAGCGACAGGTGCTGCCTGCCCAGGCATTTTCAAAGCCCTAAATTGTTACTCTTTTGTTGGCCTAATTAAGTTGAAAAGCTTACGGGGTTTGTAGTCAAAGGAAAGTCAAACCCTAACTTTTCTACTGATTATCTGTGTGATTTTGGTCTCTGCCTAACCTCTCTGAGCCAGAATAAGAAAACTTTTCAAACATAGAGGATTGTTTGGGGAATGAAATAAAATTGGCAGGATGATGTGATAAACTGTTTACACCATGCTTTGCAACCCCAAGTGTGTGATATTAATAGACAGACAGTATCCTTGCTATGTTAGTTTACTATACTGGAAATACTCAGGGAGCCCTCCTCACCTGTGACTGGTAACATTATGACAACAATAACACCTGCTTTGCTAAATCACAAGATTATGGTACAGTCCAAAGGTAATAGATATGCAAACTAGAAGCTGTTAAACAAATTAAAAGTATCCCCACCCCTCAGCTTATGCTCAAATGAATGAATTCAAGTGTAAGGCCATTTACCCCAACTGAATATAAGTTCAGTTATATTATAACTAAATATAATTTACCCCAACATAAATAAGACATTGCTCACTCTATAGGCACAAAGAAAAATGGAATATACATAGCGTTTCAGTAATGGTGAGCTACTGAGAGTTTGGCTCTTTACAGTTAATACAGAAAGGTAAATCTTGTGAACATTGAATAGTACATATATGATCCAACTCAAGTTTAAAATGTGCCACTCTAAGTAAAAAAAAGTATGAACTATTCCCACTACTCAATCACACAGCAGAGTCATAAGATTACTAATAACAAAACCCTACAAATACTGATATGAGAGCAAACATGCTTTTTAAAAATTATCACAAAACTGGAATGCAGTTAAAGACAAGGAATTCTTTAAATTGCTGGGCAATGCCCAATTGAATTTGGAAGGATGTCAAAGAAGAGTTAATTTTATATTCTGCACTTGAATTATAAGAAGTCTGGAGAGCCTAAGTTTGCTTGCATAAGAAATCACAGACGCCCCTTCCGGAGCTCAGTGGTGGATGGATTGACTGCAGGCCAGTGGAAACTAAAGCTCATTCCCACCAATTTAAACCCCACCTCTATCTTTGAATAGGAGTCAAGTAAAAATTATTTCTCCTCAACATGCAGAAGAGGAGAGATGAAAATATTCTCCACTACCTGTACCTGATTATCTGTTGATTTCATGAGCAAAAACTTGGGTTGGAGGAAAGACAGACTCAGGGAAGTGCTATCAGTAAACTGTGAGAAGTCTTAAAATATATTTTATCTGTGCATAATTAGCCTACATATGATTCCCATTGAGTTCCTTGCTCTCTTCCACCCTCCCACCCCAGAAATTAAGACGATGAAAAGGATGTCATGGAGATGGGGGCAAAATCAAAGGGGGCACGACTGCTAATACTATTTATTCAAACATCATTCTGATGATTGGTTGGAAAAAAAAGGCAGAGGAGGATTGTAGTGTGAGGATGGCTCCAGTCTCGAGATCTGAGAGCAAAAGACGGCTTTGGGACTCACGAGGTGTGATGTGCATTGTGACTCCCCGGCCTCAGCTCCTTACACAGCCCTGTACTCATGTGAAGTAGGATTTGGCAGAACAGGATCATCTGTGTTTTTTCTGCTCGGTTAGCAATTAGCATTCTCTGTTCTTTCTCTCTAGCTGCAATAATTATGCTCATCTGGTATACCTCATTGCAAAGCTTCCTCAAAAATGGTAAATCACATAATAATTCATTATAAAGGTAAGCTCCTAAGGGGAGTTCAAGATAGTGCAGGCAATGTATCTGTGTTTGCTGGAAAGAAAGGCTTAGCTAACTTCTGATTTTTGACATTGAAAATGAACGTCTACAGTATTGGTAAGTGAGAACTGACTAGGGTTTTATTTGGGAAAAGATACAACAAAATATTGCAAAAAGGATCAGGGTAAATGGATATGCTGGTCTCTATAATTCTGGAAGAAAAAAGAAAAACAACACTGCTCCTTGAAAAACAGTTAAACAAGAAAAAAGGAAAAGAAAACATTCTCTCTCAACTTGGAGAAGGAAAGGACACTCAAGCTCTCAACTCCGTGAGGTTGTAAACAGTGTGGGTGTGAAGCAGCAGTAAGGAACAAGGAGACCCTGTGAAGCTTCAACAAGAGGAGTGGGTGGAACAAATAATAAAAATGCAACACGCAGCTACAGAAATAGAGAGGCATGCGCATCCATAGGAAATGGATCACGCAGCAGAAGACGCGCTCATCTGCAGTCCTGTGCAGAGATCAGCATCAAAATACCAAAATCTAACCAAATTGAAATGTCACCCAAATGCTTGAAACAGCATGGGCGTGGATAAAAAGAACAAAATCTACACTCCAGGATGTCAGGTCTATGCGAAAAGTTACCTACAAGCCTAATTCTCCCAGTGAACAGGTGCCACTTGGGAGTGAAGTCACAGCCCCCACTGGGACTGAGGCTGAGTGGGCAGAGGCTGTTCCAGGGAAGACGGCACCTGCAGAGAGGTGTGGCCTCTTCATTTCACAGGTGCTGAATGGAAAGAGCAGTGTCCCCTTGAGGTCACACAGACAGGGCCTAGAACATGACTGCCTTCTGCCTGCAGCCGGGTCTGGGAACACCCACTTCTCACTTCTCTGTCTGGCCTTCCCTGGCTCAGTCTCCGCCTGGTCTCCAGCCCTTACTAAGCATTAGACTTTCCTGTGTTATAATTCCTAGCATGGCGTATGGAGCTCTTTGGAGAATAGATGTTACTTAGATTGCTTTACTCATTTAGGCTAAAAAGGATCAAATAAGGTTGTATTTGCAGCTCCTTAAAAAGTAAGCATATGTGAATAAAAATTGAAAACTGATACTTAAAATTGTCAGTTTACATTTAGGAACAAAAGTATGGTGTATTATCAATATATCAAAATGGAAACCATTCAAAGAAATCATATGTGAGGTACGTATGGATTAAAGATGACAGACAGAAGTAACAGTGGGAGAGAAAACCCCACAATGTCTCAGTAGATACACTTGGCCAGGTGCCAAAAGAGAACATCTATGAAACAGTTCTAAAGAATTCCTTCTTAAGGTAAAAGGGAATCTTTCAGAATTGTACATATAAGATATACTTTCTAATGCCCTTATATTACATATATATTCAAAACGAGGTAAATTAAGTTATTTGAGGATAAAGCAACAGAAAATATTTTTTAAATGAAGATCAGGACTGAGATGAGTTCTACAAGCCAGTGAACATAATAATATCCAGTAATAAAAAGATATAGAAGGAATTAATATTATTAACAAATTTGTTCTTTTATTATTCTACCTAGTTTACTTTCTGGTTCAGATTTTTGAAAAATTTCTTACCTGGGCTGACTGTTCACCTTTCCAAGTTTTCCATTGAAGCTCAAACTACAGATGTTTTTTGATTTGGAATGTGAAGAGTCTGATTCCAAATTTGCCTGTGTTTGTTCTCTCAGACGGTCATGAAGTGTTGCTTCCTTTTTCAAGTTCATGTCCGAATATGGGCAGCCGAAAGCACTGGTTTTATAAAAATGAGAGCACTCCCGTCAGCATGTAGTGATAAATCAGGGACCCACTGTCACTGGAGCAGACTTACGTTTAATATTTAAAAACTGAAGAGAGACATTCTTCTTTCACTGAACACACTCAATAGTTTCTTTTTGTATTACCGTTTGAGAAAATCTCACGTTCTAGATAGAACCATAGGTACTGGTCAACAAGTATTACAGGTAGATTCATCAGGACATACGTTATTTACAATTTTGCAAACTTAAAAAACTAAGGATAGCATACAGATGTGTTTCCCACGGAGAAAAGAAAATGTCCTGTAACACTTGCTTCAGAGCCTGTATCCTTCAGCATTTATGCTTGATTTGACTCACTCTATCACAAAACACTACTGGTAACTAAACACATTCACTAGTATCAGAGAATAGTATGCTTTCATTTCTTCATCATATATGAACGTGATGATCATTAAAAAAATCTCAAATTGGGAGTATGCATTAGGTGGAAAGCAAACCTTGTGAGTATCTTAATGAACACTGGGTTTGAGTCTGGGAGGAAGCAGTGTTTTTAATAGCAAGAGCACAAGAGCCACTGGGTAGGCCTCACTGCACAAGGCTAAGGGAGACTTTAGAAAGAACGTTCTGCAGATAAAGTTGGAAGTTTTTGTTAATTTCATACCACAGTGGCTGCAAGGCTCACATGGCTCACGTATGCGCCACTAACGCGCTCTTCCTAAGGCTGTCCTGCCCAGTGTTTGCACACAGCTTCCTGCTTGGCACTTGCTGATATGGAGAGAAATTTTTGTTTCTCTCAATCTTTATTCATAAATCAGTCCCTCTAGTTACATAATCATTCATCTGTTTCCTAATTTCACTCTAGCTCCTCTTGTCTGTCTGGTCAAAGGAGAGCAAAGCCAAATGGAACCCCTGTACCCTAACGGAACCCTGTGAGGTTGGGCATGTGGGGACAGAGTTCCAGGTGACACCAAGGAGAATCAAGTGTGAAGTTCAAAAGAATCCGTGAAATGACCAAAGCATACTTTGTGGGAGATGCTGCTGAGGAATTTGAAGAAGATAATGATGAGAGAGAAAGAAAAGTACAAAGAAATGTGGGTGAGGGAGATTTCAGATACAATCGTCTTCACCATTTGACACTGCTGAACCTCGCTTCTACCAGTCTGCTGCAAGCTGGTTTCTGGGTTGCAACCTGCAGGCTCACTTGCATTCTTGCAGAGAAATATATAGTTATGCTGGAGAGATGTCATCCCAAACTTTGGTCTGGCTTCTTGCAAACTCAGACCTTGCTCATGCCTAAGTGGGTGCATGTGTGTGTTCATGAGATGTATCATATTTGTACAAATCTATTTGCATAGGAGAAAAATATGGAAGCAGAACTTCCTGGGTATGATAAAACCATTTTAAACTTACTTTTGAAGCTTTGGATTTAGTATAATGTTAGGGAAATACAGTCCAGAAAGACATAGTCTTTTTCTAAAACTTCTGACATAAGCTGAAATTTTTATGACTTAAAGCTCTGTGGTTGAGGTAAAGTGTCAGTTTCTGAATGATAGGGAAGTAATATATTCAAATTTCAGTTCATTATGAATGGAGATAAGGAAGGTTAAAAACCACAGGCTGAGAGGCAAGCGTAGAGTAGCAGCGTCTCTGCTGGAGGCGTGGAGTTCTTTTTGATGGGGCAGTGTTTTCTCATTCCTCCTTAATTCACGGAGGAATCTCTCATTTTCATGAAAAAAAAAAAAGAAGAGACAGAAGCAAATATTAGGTTGACCCACATGAAATTACAGTTTTTAGATGTGAAAGACAGTCGAATTATCAGGAATTTCATATGGTTCAACCAAATAATTTACGAAAGACGTCAGCTCAGACTCATCCCCAGCAAAACAGATGAATAGTGGCCGAGTCAATAAGAAAAGCCACTCAACAGCTGCAGACAGACTTTTAAAATAGTCTCGCTCTGTTGCCTGGGTTAGAGCGTAGTGTGTCCTCATAGCTAACTGCAACTTCAAATCCTGGTCTCAAGGGATCCTCCTGCCTCAACTTCCTGAGAGGCTGAGACTAAAGGCACCTGGCTAATTTCTCCATTTTTTGTAGATATGGGTTCTAGCTCTTGCTCAAGCTGATTTTAAACTCTTGAGCTCTAGCGATCTTCCCTTCTCAGCCACCCAGATTGCTTGATTATAGGCGTGAGAGCCACTGTACCCAGCCTTAAAAGATTTTTTTTTTTGACAGATACAAGTAGTCTTCTTACCTCATGATGGAATGAAAGATAAAATAATTATAATTAAAAATACTTGTTTTGTTGGGCGGCACCTGTGGCTCAGTGAGTAGGACGCTGGCCCCATATTCTGAGGTTGGTGAGTTCGAAGCCCACCCCAGCAACACTGCAACAAAAAAATAGCCAGGTTTTGTGGCAGGTGCCTATAGTCCCAACTACTTGGGAAGCTGAGGCAAGGGAATCACCTAAGCCCAAGAACTGGATGTTCCTATGAGCTGTGACACCACGGCACTCTACCATGGGTGACAAAGTGAGACACTGTCTATAAAAAAAAAAAAAAATACTATTTTTGTTTATACACACACACACACACACTTTCTTTTTTTTGAGACAGGATTTCATTGTTACTGAGGCAGAGTGCAGAGGCTGGAGGGCAGGTGCACCTGTGCCTGGCTAGTGAGTCCTCGTCAGTCTAGTTTCTCTAATGAGGCACCTGCCCTGGCCTTGCTCCTTCACGCCTTGTCTGCTCCTGTGCCTACAATCCGGATGCCCTACTAGACAGCAACCCTGCATTCCCACTTTGTCTTGCCATCCTAGGGAGGGAGCAGCCACTTCCCAGGTGCCACCTGGCCAGTCCTCTGTGAGCTTCTTGCTGTGACTTCTGTTACTGTGCCCGCTAACTGGGATCTACCTTCCTCTTGGATTCTTCCCATCTGGCCCCCATTTCTAAGAATCTAGATGACAACTACTGATTACCAGACCCCTTCCCCACTGGGTTCTGTTCATCCAAATCTGTGATCTGTCATCTCATAACAATGTTTCATTTTCTCATAACCAAGCTGCAGACATTGTTCCTACTCTTCTCTTATTCCCTTGTCCTGCTAAAGTAATGGGCCATTCCCGCACGAATCCTAGAGGTGGGCACTGTGAGGATAGAGTCAAATTGTCACAATTTGCTTAAAAGGCACTTTCCCCGCCCATCTGCAGCTACACCCTCCAGTGACCAGTCCTTCTAGTCTCCAGCAACCTCCAGGCTCTAAATCCCCTCTTGTTCCCAAATGCTAGTTATCATTTTCTCTCTGTGACATGACATGAAAAGGCCTGGAACGCATTACAAATTTAAGGAAAATGGCAAAGATAAAATAGCCTCATGAGTGCTGTACTTCAAAACATAAATAAATAACCCAGAAGTCAGCAATAGTTCAGGAAAAGCATCAAGTTGTTGACAACCTTGCTTGTGATCTTGAAAAGTGAAGTCACCTGGAATAAGCAAGCAGCTCCCAGGAAGAGCCCAGCTGCAGGAAGAGGCCCGCACATAGCCCACGAGTTAGACACCCAGTTAGACTTTAATGAGTTCTCTAAATGCAATTATCCCGCCCCCTATGACACCTACTGTGTTCCCTATTTTTGTCTCCATTATTTTACTAGCCAACTATATCCTTTCCCTTGTAATAGATAGATAAGAAAACACTGGAGTCCTATCTTAGCTGGGATGTTGGATTCTCAAGTCGCTGTGTTTGGGAGGGTAGGAGGCATCCTTATTTGGAAGCACTCCCAGGAGAGAAGAGTTGAGGGGGTTGCCCCCCAGAACCAAAGGGCAGGGAAGAGCACGGCATGGTAGTCTCTGCCAGGTAACAAGAGGGAGCACCGACACTTGGCAGAGAAAGGCATCCGTGGTGGAGCCAAGAAGGATGGGGAAGTGCTCCCTGCCTGGCCATGTGGCCTGGAGTCCTGATGGCAACAACAGCCCATCCCAAGGGCAGTGGGTCCTGCTGAGGGCTTGGTGAGGGAGACGTATCACGCCTGCCACTTGAGAAAACCAGCAACCCCCAGGCTGTTCCCGTCACTGCCACTTCACAGCATAAAAATAACCCCTTCCTTTTCAGAATTGTATTGTCTTTAATACGTGGAAGTCTAATCTTGCACGACAGAAGGATGTTAATTGAATATCTTTCATTCTTAGGAAAATATTGATTTCTTGGCCAAATGGCACTAAAAGACATAAATACTAAAATGCATATTATTGAAATTATAAAATAACTATAATACTTTATATAAAACCTTTTAAACACTAACATATGACTGAAATTGTTGATGATTTTACTTCTGAGGATAAAAAGCAACTACAGCTGATACATGTTGGAAAACAGACTAGGGAGGAAAAGACATCACGGGTTTTTAACACTTATTAAGGATATAACACAAGTTTTTTCGTGTTGTTCTCAAGCATGAAGACGGGCAAACACCAACTGGTACACACATGTAAGATTCTCGGGTCTCGGTGTCAAAACTTCCTTCACATTCCAGGGGCTTTAAAATGAGTTTTACCCAAGATATTCTCCTCTGATTCTGACTAACTTTTGTCCATAAAACAGCCGAGACTGTGACTTGTCATTTCACTACTAGAAAATTTACACAGAGTGAGAAAAAAGTATAATTTTTTTTAAAGATTCAAAAGCAAAGGTAAAAGAAATCTACATATATAGAGAACTTGAAGAGTTCAAAGAGTTGGCAAAATACATTTGATTCATTTCTCTGGGGTAATCCAGCCTGTGAAATCATCCTAGCTATTACAGGTTCCTGAAAATGGCCCCGGAGGAAGCTGGAAGAGCATTTACTACCTACCTGAGCACTGGAATCCGTCTGCTGCAGTGGTGGAAAGCATGGTCTTAGAACAAGAGAGAGCTGCCTTAAAGCTACCAGCTCCACAACCTTGAGCAAGTTACTCAACTCTCATCTATAAAATAGTGATAAAAACATGTTCCTTCTAAGAG